TTTTAAATTTTTTTTTTTCAACGTTTATTTTATTTTTGGGATAGAGAGAGACAGAGCATGAACGGGGGAGGGGCAGAGAGAGAGGGAGACACAGAATTGGAAACAGGCTCCAGGCTCTGAGCCATCAGCCCAGAGCCTGACGCGGGGCTCGAACTCACGGACCGCGAGATCGTAACCTGGCTGAAGCCGGACGCTTAACCGACTGCGCCACCCAGGCGCCCCTTTAGTTATTTTAATAGATAAAAAAAGAACATCACCTTAAGATAATAAGTGAATATATATCTCCATCTATGCATTCACTCCATATCTCATCTCTACCCAAAAACTCTGGATACGTAGTTGTTAGTGTTTACCACTTTTTTTTTCATTCCTTATTATCTGATAAATATAAGTAGTCTGCATATTTAAATAAAGAAGCTAATGCTCTGGTATTTTGTAGATGAAATATGAGCCTGCTTTGGATTTTATTTTGTTAATTATTTTGGCTTTCATTTTTACCCTAGGTTCTGCCCATTCTACAAGACAGTAGGGATGCTGTCCAACATGATTGCGTTTTATGATATGGCCCGTAGAGCTGTTGAAACCACTGCACAGAGTGACAATAAAATCACATGGTCCATTATCCGTGAGCACATGGGGGAGATCCTCTATAAACTTTCCTCCATGAAATTCAAGGTATATTTTGTTTCTACTTAACTTTTTTAGTAGGAAATGTTTCTTTTGAATTATTTAACTATTTACAAACAATCTATTTCTCCACAGACCTGATGTGTGAAACTTGGGTTTATCATTTTCATACATGCTCAGGACCAGAACAGACCTTAAAGTTATGTTCAAATAAGAATTCTAGTGATAAAAGTTATAGTATGTCATGTCTAAAATAAATGCTGACACGTTTTCCCTTTTGTCTTAACTGCCGGGCAGTTTAGAGCTAAAATCATAGCTGGGCAGCAATTACTTTACCTCAAGTACCTATTACCAATTTACCCCCATGCTCACCTGAAATGACTTCTGCTGTTTACTTCTAAGTATCCTGTTACGCATCATTTTTAACTTTGAGGTGGATTCTTTTTTTTTTTTTTAATTACTCTAGTCATAAATAGATAATTAAATGAGATTATCAGTAGAAATCCAAATGTGTAAGATTGTTTTTAAAATATTTGATCAGTTGGGTTGTATTTAATTACTTCTAAATTAAGACATCCAAGTATATTTACTAATCACCTTTAGAGAAATTGAGAACGATTCTGTGACAGTGCGTTATATATATAGTGTTTGTTTACACTATAGGTTGAAAGTAAATCTGTAAAAATAGTCACTGTAACAAGAATTTTAAAATAATTCACACTCTATGAGTCCTGTCGCTTCAATTCAAAACATATGACCCAATAACTAGATTTCTTTTTAAATGAAGTATAGTTGACATAGAATAATCAGAAAAAACATTTTTTTAAACAATTTTTTTAATGTTTGTTTATTTTGGGGAGAACAAAAGCAGGGGAAGGCACAGAGAGGGGACAGAGGATCTGAAGCAGGCTCCACACCGACAGCAGTGAGCCTGATGTGGGGCTCGAACTCACAAACCACGAGATCATGACCTAAGTAAGCCAAGTCAGACATTCAACTGACTGAGCCATCCAGCTGCCTCCCAAAAGAGGGGAGCACACAAGCCGGGGAGGGGAAGAGAAAGAGGGAGAGAGGGAATCCCAACCAGGCTCCTCACTGATAGCACAGAGCCCAACAGAGCTCTGTCTCACAAACTATGAGATCATGACCTGAGCCAAAATCAAAAGCCAGACACTTAACTGACTGAGCCACCCAGGTGCACCTAATCAGAGACTTTTGATATGAATGTATGTAAAAGGTTTTTTTTTTTTTTAATGTTCATTTATTTTAGAGACAGAGCAGAAGCGGGGGAGGGGCAGAGAGAACTGGAGACAGAATCTGAAGCAGGCTGCAGGCTCTGAGCTGTCAGTACAGAGCCCAACGCAGGGCTCAAGCCCACGAGCCATGAGATCATGACCTGAGCCGAAGTCGGACACTTAACCAATTGAGCCACCCAGGCGCCCCAAAGATTGTTTATTAAACTTCTTAAATGTCATTCAAGGGTAAACAGGATCAACAGTACATTATGGCATGTACATTATAGCAAGAGTATTATGAAGACATCAATATCATTTTTTCAAAGAATATCCAAAGATCTGAGCAAATGTTTATGGTATAATGAGTGAAAAAAATCAGGTTGCAAAAAAATTCCATATGTAATTTGATCCAAATTTTATTTTTAAAGATTAAACATTCATATGGATAAAGAAAATGTGATACACAGACACATTCACATATGTATAGTGGAATATTAATCAACCATAAAAAGGTGAAATCTTGCCAATTGTAACCTGGATGGATTGAGAGAGTATAATGCTAAGTGAAGTAAGTCATTTAGAGGAAGGCAAATACCATATGATTTCACTCGTATGTGGAATTTAAGAAACACAGCAAACAAACAAAGGAAAAAAGAGGCAAACCAAAAAACAGACTCCTGTGGAGAATAGGCTGGTGGTTGTCAGAGGAGAGATGGGTTGGGGGAATGGGTGAAAGGAAGGTGAAGGGAATTAAGAACACACTGCTACTATGATGAGCACTGAGTAATGTATAGAAGTGTTGAGTCACTATAATTGTATATTTAAAACTTATATAACACTGTATATTAGTTATACTTTAAATAAATAAATGGATTATACATTCATAGGAAGAGGATTAAAAATATATGTGATAAGGGGCACCTGGGTGGCTCAGTTTGTTGAGTGGCTGACTCTTCATCTCGGCTCAGGTTATGATCTCACAGTTCGTGGGTTCAATCCCCACATCAGGCTCCACGCTGACAACATGGAGCCTGCTTGGGATTATACCTCTCTCTCTGCCCTTCCCCTGCTTGCTCATGCTCTCTCTGTCTCTCCCAAAATAAATAGGTGAACTTTAAAAAAAAATTTATAAATATATATATATATATGCAATGATAAATAATATAGTGATGATTTCTGATCATGTGATTCAAGGTGATATCTTTTTTCTATTTACATGCACATTGTATCAAATTAATATCTCCGTAATTTTTTATGTCATTAAATATTCTTCTGTAACATTATTTTGTGGCTGGAGAATAATATTTGCCTATTGTCAGGTATATAGGAAATTTCCAGTTGTTGGTATGGACAGCTTTGTTTATGTAGTTGGTTTTGTGTATTTTCCTGTTATAGCTTCCCAGAAGTGAAATGATTGAGTCAGGGCTTAAATATATTAAAGCCTCTTTTATACATACTGCTCAATTAAGTTGTTTTCCATAAGGATTTAAAATACACATTTTAAGATTATTTTAGAAATTTTACTTCCTTTGTTGCAATGTGATACTATGAGACCTTGAACAGTAAATTATGTTTTGACTAAATTAATTCCAACTATCTTGTACATGCTAGAGAATGTAATGTGTGATACTGCATAATTTTCCCATATTTTGCATATTGTTGAGGATAAATCATCTATTGGTCGTTGAATACAGTTAGCAGGCAAAATACAAAATCAAAATTTTGTCTTCTTTCTGTTAGGTTGGAGTATTACTCCATTTATACATTTCTCTTTTTATAGGAAAATAAGGATAATTTTGACCCCTGCCTGTGTTTTAGCAGTGTACCTCACTTAACCTAATACTCAAAATATATTAAACATACATAACTTACTACCTGTTCTGAAAATTCTTTTCCAAAGGTAAATTAAATTCTGTAATGTCTTTTTTCAGGACCCGGTAAAAGACGGTGAAGCAAAGATCAAGGCTGACTACGCACAACTTCTTGAAGACATGCAGAACGCATTCCGTAGCCTCGAAGATTAGAACTGTGATTTCTTTCCTTCTTTTCCTCAGCAGTCTCTCCTCTGTGTATAGTTTCCTAAATTTCTCATCTCCAAACCCTTTGCTTCTTTGTTGTGCAGCTTTGAGACTAGTGCCTATGTGTGTTATCGCTTGTTCCCCTGTTTATCTGGTGGGTCTTCTATGAAACAAACATTCCTTTGTTCCAGTGTTTGAAGGGCCTCCCTGATCCTTTCTCCGAATGGTGAATGTAGTAAATATGATATATAATGGCTACACTACTGTAAACTCATATGTAGGGTGACATGCCTCCTTGTCCTAGGTTTGCCCTTGCCTCATCACCATTAAATTGTAAATGGGACTATTGCATGTACTCTCTTTGCAATAGATCTGGAGCGGAAGGCCAGATTTCTACACGTTTTGACAGGTACTTTGTGAAATGACTCAATATCTATGTGGTAAGGTTATTTGCAGCTTAGCATTTTGCTAAGTAGCTGCTTTGCAGGATATAATTACTTTTTTAAAACCATGAATGATTAATGTTCCAATTATGCATTGCCTCCCCCAGTATAAATCAGGAATGTTTATAGGAAACTGTTGGGAACTCTACTGTTTTTAAAACAGGCGTTTGTGGGACTCAGCACAGTATATGAATCAGTACCCTCTAAAAAAGTGGAAAAGGAGCCAGGTGGTCAAACTTAAACATCATCTTGTTAAAGCATATTTTATTTCAGTATGAAAAATGCAGTATCAAGGACTACCCTACTACATTACTAGGAAAGTCTTTTTAAAATCACATTTAAAACAATCACGGGGAACTTGATCCACTTCGTGCCCTTTTTCTTTTCCTCAAACATCTTAGAAGCCGAAGCTTCTAAGAATCATGTGGCAGTGTGATGGGCAGTAAAATGCCACAGAGAAGATATTCAGTAGTGGTTAAGGCTGTTTGCACCATTAAGGACCAGCTGGACTGTAGTGATTCTTGGGGCCAGAGCGGCATTACATTTTTACAAGATAATGATGTGTGTCATGTGTTTGCATGTTTGTTTGCTCAGTGAACTTTTGAACAACCAGTTTGCCAGCTTACTGGCTCAAAAGACTTTTCAGAATATCTGTAACAATAGCATAGCAGTTTTCATCCTGTTTAATAAGGATGAAATTAATTCTTTTATCTGCTAATAACAGAATCTGGGTCATGTGAAAAAAAGATAATTTCATCCTGTCTTTTAAGTATATGTTTTAAAGTAATAATTTCTGTCTTTGTGTAAGGCACACTTCAGAACAGCTCTGAGAGCAACAGTTTCTCATTAATTCTTTCTGACCAATAGTGCTGGCACCATTGCTTCCTCTTTAGGAAGAGGAAAGGGCATGTGAACATGCCTAACAACCTCAAATACCCAAATGTAATAGCATAAATAAAGTATTTATTTTATGCCTCAGTATATTATTATTTAAATTTTTAGGTCATATATTTCTTTTGGTCTGTCAAGGAAAGTAGAGAATTCAGCAGTGGTTTGTTTCAGTCTTGCAGACTGCATGTTTTTACAGTGGCTTGCTGTTCAGGATAGATATTCTTCCATATGTAGCTTTTTTTTTTTTTTTTAACTTTTCCAAATATTGGAAAATATAAAAATTATGCAATGATTCGTTAAGATGTGGACTTAATGGTGCTGCTTAATCAGTTTGCTTCCAATGTGGCCTCCCACCTAGAGGCCCGAAGACCAGTGGAATTGAAAAGGATTTCAAAAATGTTCTATTCCTACCTTAAATCTACCAGCAAACCAGGATTATGATAGTAATGAGTGATATGATGAAGAAAGTTTGACCAAGTTTGTTTTTTTGTCATTCTGAGTTTGCAATGTAATTCTTACTCCCTTTGAAGAATGCTGATGTATGGGTGTGAAGATGCTAGAGACAGAAGATGCTCTGATACTCATTGTAAGTGTCCCTTCATCTGTATGTTGTAGAACTTCAAATTGGTCACTGATCATATTTCTTTAGTAAGAACGTGTTAAAATTACAACAATCTTTTAAAAAGATGATGCAGTTCTATATTTATTGTGCTATGCCTGGTCCTAAATGGAGCCAGTTAAACAAGTTTCATATGTATTTTTCCAGTGTTAAATCTCACACATTGTACCCTTTGGAAATTTCCTTCCATCCTGAAGAACGAATAGAAGAGGCCATATGTATTGCCTCCTTATCCTTGAGATTTCACTATCTTTATGTTAAAAGTTGTGTATAATTGTTAAAATCTATGAAAGAATAAAAAGTGGATTTAAATTAACATTTTTTCGTGTGTGTGTGCGTGTGGCAGGATCTGCTAAAAAACATACCACCTTGTATTTCTTTTTTATTGTTCTCAGTGTGAACTTTTAAATTTTTTGTTTCTCCCTTTCTTTATAGATTGTTCCTTAAGATCATGAAATTGAGTTGGGACTCTCACTATAGACTATATAAAGCTCACTATAAAAAGCCCTATAATCATAACCAGTATGATTTGGAAATGTAGTACACAGAATCGCATGCCATTCTGAATATTACTTTAAGTTGAAAAAGTGAATCGTTTCTAAAAATGCACTTACAAATTAAAGGAGATCAATCGTACTCATTTCTATTTTTGACAAATGACTAAAACCTTGTTATTCATTCATAGATTTTTCAAGCTAAATCAGTTAAGATCCAATGTAACAGCATGTTACTGGGACATATTTTATGTCTTTATTTTTTTTAATTTTTGTAATGTTTGTTTGTATTTGACAGAGACAGAACATGAGTGGGGGAGGGGCAGAGAGTGAGAGGGACACAAAATCCAAAGCAGGCTCCAGGCTTTGAGCTATCAGCACAGAACCCAATGCAGGGCTCAACCCACGAGCTGTGAGATCATGACCTGAGCTGAAATTGAATGCTTAACCCACTGAGCCACCCAGGCACTCCTATTTTATTTCTTTAAATGTATTTTTAACAACTTCCAAGGGAGTAAAGAAACAGTGTGAAGTGAACAACTCTGTATTACTATCAAGTGTCAAGTTTATCTAGAGAAATACTTAAAAATCCATAGGAAAGCATATTCATTATAGAATGTTTGGATAATTTATAGTCCACTTGGTAATATCCCAGTCTCTTTGGGTTATTCTTTTAATATATTGCTACAATATAAGAGCACAAAGAAGGAAAGCAACTTTCCCAAATGAGCTGTGATAAAATGCCACTGAAGTTGTTTTAAGGGCCTCCCTTTCGTTTGTGTTACCCCAGAAGTTGACTCTGAGACAAGTGCTTGAGTGCAGGGAGTTTTATTTGGGATGTGATCTCAGGACACACCAGTAGGCGAGGAGAGAATTCAGACAAAATTGAAAGAAGCCAATAAAAATTCATTATCAAGCAAGTCAACACTTCAGAATATTAAGCATAATGCTGCTGGGGAATTCTGGGAACAACCGAAGTATATGAACCTCAGGTATCCCACCTGTGGTACAAAAGAACTGGGGGACTTTCATCAGTCATTGATTGATAGCCAGCTCCTGTCAGTCTTCCAGTGAAGGCTGTTCCCACAAAGACTGGGAGAGTTAATGCCCAGCACTTGCATGTAGGTAGATCAGGCACTGGTGGCCACAGAAACCCCTGCAAAGAGATTGGGTGCAGGTAGTTAGGGGAGGTTGGGCTGGTGTGCACCAAAATGGTAGTCATAGCCAAGGAGATTTAGATGGACACTGCTAGCAACTGCTTCAGGCTTCTTAAGAACCCAGGGTGAAAAAGATCATTCAATAAGTCACTGAAAAGCCATTGTTCTGCAAAATAAGGAAGCACCCAATAAAAGGATCTAGACACACTTTGAATCCAGGCAGCCTGATTCCAGAGAGCATACTCTTAATCACGACACTACATTCTGCCTCTGTATTTGAAGAGTTTTTTTTAAATTTTTTTTTTTTTTTCAACGTTTATTTATTTTTGGGACAGAGAGAGACAGAGCATGAACGGGGGAGGGTCAGAGAGAGAGGGAGGCACAGAATCGGAAACAGGCTCCAGGCTCTGAGCCATCAGCCCAGAGCCTGACGCGGAGCTCGAACTCACGGACCGCGAGATCGTGACCTGGCTGAAGTCGGACGCTTAACCGACTGCGCCACCCAGGCGCCCCTGAAGAGTTTTTTTTAAAGAGAAAATAGTATACAAACCAAGTATGGTTATAAATAGATGTGGGGTTTAAAGCAGCTTCTTGCATTAATGAGGATGTTGGTCATTTATTCCAACCCTCTCATTAACACAAAAGAGCAAATTGAAGTCCAGAGAGGTTAACTGGTTTGCCCAATGTCACACTGCTACTTAATAAAATTCAGGCCTCCTGATTTTTAGTGTCTACACTAAATCATACTGTATATATCTTTCCTTATGTATGTATGTTTCATTCAGAACCAGGAAGTTGGTATGAATAAATGTGAGCCATAAAGACAGATAAACCAGAAGAAAAGTAGGGAGAAATGACTGGCCAAACAAGGTGGTCATAGACAGTGTGGTGACTCACTTATTTAAAAAGGAAAATGTGACTGAGAAACTGTTAGAGTTTGAGCCAGAGTTTAGAGAGGTGAGTCTAGAAATAGATAACCATTTTATTTTTTTTAATTTTTTTTTTTAACGTTTATTTATTTTGGGGACAGAGAGAGACAGAGCATGAACGGGGGAGGGGCAGAGAGAGAGGAAAGGAAGACACAGAATCGGAAGGAGGCTCCAGGCTCTGAGCCATCAGCCCAAAGCCTGACGCGGGGCTCGAACTCATGGACCACGAGATCGTGACCTGAGCTGAAGTCGGACGCTTAACCGACTGAGCCACCCAGGCACCCCTAGAAATAGATAACCATTTTAATCAAAATTGTAAGAAGTCATCGTAGTGTGGAGGAACAAGAATAAACAATGACATATTTTCCAAAGGGCTTGTATCCAGAATACATAAAGAGCTACCAAAAAAAAAAAAAAAAGTGACAGATCTTAATAGATAAATGGGTAAAAGACTTGAACAAGCACCTCACTTAATGGTGCATTGATACATGAAAAAGATGCCTAGCTTC